ATATCGATAGTAGTATTATTACTGGTAGTGGTGATTCACAACAAGTATACAAATTCACATCCAGACGCATACCATACAAGTAGAATTTTAGATGATGAGATTGCTAAATTTAAAAACTTGAAAAATAACCTTGACTGTAACTCTTTTCTCTAAGATGTTAACAAAGGTGAATAAAAATTTCATTATTACTAACAATTTGATTGATTAATAAACATTGGATTCTAGTATAATTAAAAGAAAGAATCGATGAATGACCAATTAAATTTCTACTATAAACTTATTATTTATATTTTTATTTTTATTTATTTTATTTCTTAAAGCTAAATTATAATAATATTTTGAAGTAATAAACTTTTTTACAGTTTTTTTTTTTATTCTTGTTAAATGGTGGTATTGCAAGGTGGCTTTTTGGTTAACGTCAATTACGGCTTAACCTTGGGCTATTATTGTCAGTTTGTCGCAAACAAGTCACAGTAATTCAGTATTCAATTAATTAATTTATAAAATTTACTTTGGTTTTTGCTTGCTGCTTCTTTCTTGTTTGCACCTAGAAAGCTTTGACGAATCTATAAGCACGCTTGATTGTTCTGAATAGCTGTAAAAAATAAAATAGCCTTTTTGCAAATTCAAAGACTTCTATAAATTCACTTGTGACTGATTTATTTGAGTTGTTATAAATTTCAAAATGTTTATTATTGGACAATTTACATAAAAATTTTACGTGTCTTTTCATTTTTAAAATAATGGAAATTCAAATAAATACTAACATTACCGCTACTAATAATAATAACAACAACAATAATTCATTGCATTTATTACCATGTAATATAAATTATAATGGAAAAGCCAATATTGATAAATATTTTATAGTCAATGAATTATCTTCTTCCTCTTCATTGGAAGAAAAAATTGAAAATAGAACTGATGGTAAATATTAAATATTATTATATTAAATATCAACAAAAACTTATCATTAATTATGTATGATTGATTATAAATACGATAAAGAAATGTTATATGAGTCATTTTTTCGAGGACGTAGGCTTATTGGCAAAAAAATTAATTTAGAACAAAATAATTACGAAGGTAAATTTTTTTAAAAAAAATATAAACCTAATAATAAATAATTATTAATTATTAATTATTAATGACATGTCATTTATTTAGGACATATATTTAAAGAATCTTCAATGATCACGTCAGCAACAAGTTCAGAAATGGAATTGGAAGAAGAGAAAGAACAAGAAATTGTGGTAGAGAAAACAAGAAATTGGGAAACGGTCAAGAAATTTGATTCATTTCTGGTATGGCAACATAATGAAATTCCCAAAACTTCTAATGATCAAATAATCAAATCTTTAGAATGGATAAAGATTGCGAATATTGTAAGTACCGTTTAAAGTAGTGGTAGCTTTAACAGTTAAAGTAATTATTTAATATTTTGAATACTTTATTTATTTTCTTAATAAAGTTACATCAAGCAACACCACCATCATCAACCATCTAACATTTAAAATAATATTTCTGAATCTGGAAAAAACCAATCTTTTTCTTCGTCATATTTCCATTGTGATAATTCATTTCCTAAATATGATGATGATGATAATAATAATATACAATCAATTAATAATCTATATATCTATCAATCAAATCATTAAATAAATAAATTACCAAATGGTTTGGGTTCTAGACAATATAAAGTGTGTAATGGAACATCTATATCAGGGACCTTTTCTTTTTCAACGTCTCTGAAATAAGCCAAAAGTATTCTCAGCACAATGCAATGTGTTACTATCAATACGTTATCAGTCATTCTTTCCAACTCAATAATCAATGGATTGATTCTATGAATAACATCCAAATATGATTCACCTCCCATACCAGGATATCTAAAATATAAATTGTTATCTTGATTTGGGTATCTCTTATCCAATTCCTCATATGTCATCTCTTCACAATGTCCCTGAAAATCAAATCAAATAATAATGAGGAATAAGAAAGTGGATGACTGAGTAAATGAATGAGCAAGCAGTTGATAAATATTGATACTTACAGCATAAATCTCATTAAGAAATCTAATATGCTAATGAATTAGAAAAATAAATACCAATAATATTTATGTAATAAAGATATGATTTGATATATTTATTTAATTACCATAATGCAAAACTCCTTTGTATCAAAATTTTCAACAGTTTGTATAGTTCTTTTTAATAAACTTGTCCATACAAAAAAATTCTTTTCAGGTGGTTCTTGTTCTTTTAATTCATCATTAGGGTTCGCAGCAGAGGCTGATGAAGGTGGTAAATATGAAGTTGGAGAAGATGTTACATAAGAAGTCGGAGAATATCTTAAACCCAAATCATATTTAATATAAAATTCCTCTTCTTGATATTTTTCTAATTGTTTTTGACGAAATAATTGTTTTTGTTTTTGGAGAAACCTCGTTAAACATGCTCCATATTTTTTCCCTTTTTCAGTAAGCTAATGATATAAATATATTTATAATATTATTAATGTTATTAACTATATATTAATAATGATAATATTATTTATTGTATGCTTACTGTTGGATCGCCACCTATTTTCTTTTCAATATTATGAACACTTTCACCATGTCTTGTAAGCCAAATCTGTCTACCTATTTATTATAATATATAATATATAATAT